TATAAGAATAGAATAGAATATAAGAATAGAATAGAGAATAGAATAGAATATAAAGAATAGAATAGAATAGAAAATAGAATATAAGAATAGAATAGAATATAAGAATAGAATAGAGAATAGAATAGAATATTAAGAATAGAATAGAGAATAGAATAGAATATAAGAATAGAATAGAATATAAGAATAGAATAGAGAATAGAATAGAATATAAAGAATAGAATGAGAATAAAATAGAATATAGAGAATAGAGAATAGAATAGAAAGAATAGAATAGAAAGAATAGAATAGAGAATAGAGAATAGAATAGAAAGAATAGAATAGAGAATAGAATAGAGAATAGAGAATAGAGAATAGAGAATAGAAAATAGAATAGAATAACAAGAATTAGAATAGAATAGAGAATAGAATAACAAGAGTTATTAACAAAGTTATTAACAAAGAGTTATTAACAAAGCTATTCCATTCCATTCCATTCCATAAACATGAGTTCCATTGCTGCCCGTCTGCATTTTGATCGCGTGGCCATGGGGATGCTGCAACAGTCGTTAAGTGTGAAAAACAACCGTAAGTTACTTTTCACCGTGCTGTTGTAACTTCGAACAGTCATTAAACAAGGACCATTGCAAGTCAAGGATAATCTGTGCTTGCTCAGATAAATGAACACTTCAATCTCCTGTTAGCCAGCTTCCTATGGAATGCTGATGTTTGCATCTCGTTTCTTCTTATATCAGCCTAGGATTCAAAAAGGTCTTTTGGTTCAAAACTCAAATGTGAACTGAATATGTATTTTTTTTAAAAAAACACCATGCAATTTTTCTGAAGAAGGCTACTATTTTTCTTCTTCTTCCCCCTTTCTTTCAGCGCACTGTCCGAATAAGGTGTTGACAGCAAGAACTGGTGTAATCTCCAGCCCCAATTATCCCAACCCGTATCCTAAAATATCCGAGTGCAGTTATAGCATCCGGGTGGAAGAAGGTTTCATGGTCATCCTAGAATTTGTGGGACTCTTTGATGTAGAAGACCATCCAGAAGTGCTGTGTCCCTATGACATCCTGAAGGTCAGTGGGATTGCTTCTAGAGGTTTTTCCATGTGCTAGAAATCTGGATTTTTCACATAGCTCTGTTTAATTCACAGCAGGTAACTAACAAAGAGGCGGGGTTCACAAAGCAGCCTATGTCACGATTTGTTGAATAAATTACAAAGGGATGGGCTTAAGATATGTTAAGCCGTAAATGACATCAAGCTGGCAGGAATAGCCAACACTCCGGAAGATAGGCTTAAGACACAGAAGAATCTTGACAAACTTGAATTGGACGCTATTTAACAAAATGAAATTCAATGGTGGAAAAAGTAAGGTTCTACATTTAGGCAAGAAAAACAACATGCACAGGTACAGTATAGGTGGTACCTGTCTCAATAGTAGTAACTGTGAGATGGATCTTGGAGTCCTAGTGTGCAACCATTTAAATAGGAGCCAGCCGTGTGCAGC